CCTGCAGATCCTCGTTGCCAACAATGGAATCGCTGCCGTAAAGTGTATGCGTTCCATTCGAAGCTGGGCCTATGCCACCTTTCGCAATGCTGAGGCCTTCTTCTTTGTATGCATGGCCTCTCCGGAGGACATTCAAGCAAATGCGGAGTACATTAAAATGGCCAACAAAATGGTCATGGTTCCGGGCGGTTCCAACCTCAACAACTACGCCAATGTGGAGCTCATCTTCCAGACGGCCGTTGCTAATCACGTTGACGTGAGTGAAGTATCTTTGCCCAACTATACTGCTGCTGTGATAGCCAATATCGGTTTCATTAGTTTCTTGAGGCGTAATCTGTTCTGCACGAAAAAAGTTGATAATCCATGCTTTAATAACTTCGTCGTTACCTCGCGTTTGAAGGATGTTGCATCGTGCGACAGCGAAGTTCATGTTTTAGTACACAGAACCTGCTGTTGAAATTGCGGTGGTACACAAAACCACAACCCACATGGCCTGTAAAAGTACAAAATCCTCCTCTTTTTCTTCGTCTTCGGAACGTACTTGTATTTGATTCGATTAGTTCCTGTTGTTGAATGAATCGGCTTCATGGAGGTCACTAATAGCGGTGGCTTATTGGCGGCGGTCGGAAGCGAGGTCCTCACAGATGCCAACCCAATCCAATGTCGCAAGCCGTAAATGCTTACGAAACCCACGCGTTCGACGTCTGACTTGACAGGGTTGAATCACGTCTTCAGTTGACCGCCATGTTCATATCTCCAGTTTGAACTCCGACAGGGATCCACGGCCATTCTGCAGAGGTCCGTCGATGGCTTGCGCAGGACATGTTCGAACCATTGCAATCGGTGATGCTGAATGTATAAATTGGTGGTTGGAAACACCTGCGATATAGCTCAACATTGGAAAGTACACCCTACCTGGAGAAGACTTCTAGCGATCAGATTCCTGTCTTTCTGACTGGCTATGTTTCGCAAGCATATACTAACAGCGGTCTCACGGATACTGTACATATCAGCCGCTTAGTGCGTAAGCTGATTTCTGAACGAGATCAGAGTGTTCTGGCTAGCAGCCTAAATGCATTTCGAGCCCGTGCGATTTGATTCCTGATTTCTTCTTTGGCCTGTCCGTTGGCTTGTATATTCGAGCCCAAATAGCGGGAGCAGCAGTGGGTTAGCCACTGATAAACAGTGCTTGTACCAACTTCCGAGACACGTAGTCTGGAACTTCGTTTTGTGTATGTTAATCGTAATACCAACAGTTGC